CCCTGAGGCGCCCGCCCCGCGGCAGCTCCCCCCCCAGAGAGCCGTCCGGCAGCTCCCCACCCCAGCTCACCTCTGCTCTGCCTCCTCCCTGAGCACGCCGCCCCCGCTCTAATTCTCCTCCCCTCCCAGGCTTGCGGCGCCAAACAGCTGATTGGCGCTGCAAGCCTGGGAGGCGGGAGAAGTGGAGCGGCGACCGCATGCTCGGGGAGGGGGCGTAGGAACGCTGTAAAAAAAAATTGGGGGCACCGCTTTTTGGCGCCCCAAAATCTTGGCGCCCTATGCGACCGCCTAGTTTGCCTAAATGGTAGCACCGGCCCTGTCTATTGATTAGACTAAGGTGCCACAAGGATTCCTCGGTCTTTTTGCTGATACAGACTAACATGGCTACCCCTCTGAAACCTGATCAGACTATGGGACTGGGAGCCAGGACTGCTGGGTTCTGTGGCCAGCTCTGCCCCTGACTTGCTCTGTATCCTTAGGCAGGACACTTAAGTTCACATTTTCAAAGAAGTGTCCACTAATTTTAGTGTTTCAGCTGTTGGGTGCCCTCCTTGGGACCCCAGGCGTACTGTGAAAAGGGGTTGAGAATCCATAGCTCCCCTGGGCTCCGCCTTAAAAAGGAGTTAACTGCTGTCAGGAAGGGACGCACTTTGATATCCATGGATGGAAGCACGATATACTGTGGCCCAGATTCTGGTCTCAGTTCATTGGTGTCAATCCAGAGTAACTTGTTTGAGGCCAGTGGAGTTACTCAGGTTGACACTGGTTTAAGTGAGATCAGAATCTGGCCAGATAATAGCCAGTATTTTACAGTGCAGAATGGGTTATGATGGCTGTTTTATAGACCTCTATCATATCCCCCCTTAGTCTCCTCTTTTCCAAGCTGAAGAGTCCTAGCCTCTTTAATCTCTCCTCATATGGGACCTGTTCCAAACCCCTAATCATTTTAGTTCCCCTTTTCTGAACCTTTTCTAGTGCCAGTATATCTTTTTTCAGATGAGGTGACCACATCTGTACGCAGTATTCGAGATGTGGGCGTACCATGGATTTATACAAGGGCAATAATATATTCTCAGTCTTATTCTCTATCCCCTTTTTAATGATCCCTAACATCCTGTTTGCTTTTTTGACCGCCTCTGCACTTTGCTCGGACATCTTCAGAGAACTATCCACGATGACTCCAAGATCTTTTTCCTGACTACTTGTAGCTAAATTAGCCCCCATCATATTGTATGTATACTTGGGGTTATTTTTTCCAGTGTACATTACTTTACATTTATCCACATTAAATTTCATTTGCCATTTTGTTGCCCAATCACTTAGTTTTGTGAGATCTTTTTGAAGTTCATCACAGTCTGCTTTGGTCTTAACTATCTTGAGCAGTTTAGTATCATCTGCAAACTTTGCCACCTCTCTGTTTACCCCTTTCTCCAGATCATTTATAAATAAGTTGAATAGGATTGGTCCGAGGACTGACCCTTGGGGAACACCACTAGTTACCCCTCTCCATTCTGAGAATTTACCATTAATTCCTACCCTCCATCCTTAGAGGTTTTTAAGGTCAGGCTTGACAAAGCCCTGGTTGGGATGATTTAGTTGGGGATTGGTCCTGCTTTGAGCAGGGGGTTGGACTACATAACCTCCTGAGGTCCCTTCCAACCCTGATATTCTATGATTCTATGCCAGATTCTGCTCTCAGGGCCTGACCCGGCTCCCCCTGAACTCAGTTGCAAAACTCCAGTTGACTTCAATGGTGCGGAATTGAGGCTTTCAGTATACTGGTGTAAAGCCACCGTAACTCATCTGCCCTCAGTGGAACACAGACCAGAAGTAGGCCCTGCGGGTCAAATTCATCCCTGGTGTAACCTCCTACGAGGGATCAATTTAGCCTAATGGTGGGCAACCTTCGGCCCACAGGCTGCACGCGGCCCATCAGGGTAATCTGCTGGCGGGCCGTCAGGCAGTTTGTTTACATTTGCACGGCCGCCCGCAGCTCTGAGTGGCTGCGGTTCGCCGTTCCCGGGCAATGGGAGCTCCGGGAAGCGGCGCGGGCTGCAAGTTGCCCACCACTGATTTAGCCTGTCTCGGTC